GTAATCCCGCCCCCAATCACAGGTGTGTTTTATAATCACATTGTGAACACGAAATGTTTTGGATGGAGACCACCTGAAAAAAATTGAGTAACGGTTATTCTTTACTAACTCACCGTTATTGTTAACAAGTCCTTGGTATGTCGATTGACTGTCTTGTTCACCGGAGGTTGACCCGCCCCCCATTGGTCTTTCCCTTTGTATTTGATCGTAAATCTGAGTGTTCCTAATTATAACTATATAAAAAAATTTGGGTTTTGGAATCTTGCTGTTGCTAAAAAAAATAGGCGGTCTGACACTGCATATAGCTAACGATATTAATAGCACATTTTTTATAACATTAAACAGAAATTGAGGCTGTATAATGACGGAAAAAGGGAGTGTGCAGAAGATTTATATTCACACGCAAAAGAGAAAACTTTCCGCATCCCACATATTTATGAATACCCTGTTACACAAGAGAATGATGAGCCAAGAACATAGTGACCAATTGACATTCAACCAATAAAAGAATGGTAACAGTTGATTATATCAACAATGATTATAATGATAACAAAAGTAATATGGTAACAATTTAATGGAGTTAGCTTAACAGATCGATCCCCTATCCTCTAAACTCCAGTAATGATTAAAGGGTTTTTATTGTTTTGGTATCTCTTTAATCTGTAAAAAAGTATTCTCAAAAACAAATTTGATTCTGACGCCTCTTCACCCTAAAATCGAGCTTTAAAGTTCCCGCTTCGGCCACGCCCAATGAAGTTGACCGCCTAAGGGAAGATTGGTGATGAGTGACGTCACTCCAGGAGCATCTCGAGCGTCGTGTGGTTACTTTGCTTGACAAACGTAGTACTTTTACAACACATCTAACGGGCATATTTATGTCTCCGAAAACTCTTTACCTTACTGAAAAAAAAAACAGTGAAATGAACCACTGGCGGGATTTGACGCGTTCCTGATTTGACGTTACGACCCATTCTGAACCCAATCTCTTTTTTGCCCTGACTCACGGTCACCTTCAATGGGTGTGGCCAAAGCGGGAAGTTTGAAGCTCGATTTCAGGGCGAAGACTCGTCAGAATCCAATTTATATTTAAGAATACTTCTTTACATGTTAAATACATACCAAAACTATAAAAACCCTGTTGGCCGTATAGACACTTTAAAGTGCACCTACAACCTTCACTTGTTTGGGAAGGTTGTAGTCGATAATTGTCCGAAAATATGCCGACTAAGTGTGTTGTAGAAGGATGTAGCAACGTGCCAAATTTGCAAGAGGGTATCGCGCTTCATACATTCTTCATACAACACACCTAGTCGGCATATTTCGGACAATATCGACGACAATCTTCCCAAACAAGTGAAAATGTGTGAGATGCAGACTTTCGTGTTCTCGATTTGACGTCACATTACCCGCTAGAGCCATTCTTCTTTAAACTCGGTCGTGGGGCAAGATGGCGGCCGATTTTCCGTATTTTGACTGGGCATAGAAAATTAAAGATTTGAGCAAATTAAAAAATTTTTGCACAGAAATACTCCAAAAAATAAGCTTATTTCGTTAAGCGAAAAAAAAATTTTGGGTTTAGGTGCTGAAATTCGAATCGG